AGCTGATAAAAATATTCCTAATAAATTAAATCGAATGTCTGATATGAGTACTTCCAATACATTAAACCAAACAACTGATAAAAGAACTTAAATCAAACAACTGATAAAATACATTCTACCAAAAAAAAATCAATAAATGGTAGGTAAAATTATATTCCATGGAATAAATCGGAATAAACCAAAATAGCTTTAAAATATACGCCCATCAATTAAATCAAACATTCAATCTAATAATAAAAGTAAATCCAAGAAAACCATACAAATCAATCGTACAGCTGAAAAACGTACTATCAAATAAATAATGTATTCAAATATCTGATTATTGTACATTACATTCAATCAAATATTTATTTTATGCTACGTAAATGTATAAAATATGTATATATCTAATCAACTATTCCAATCAAATCAAATATCTGATCAATTTACGTCAAACTGCATAACTGTTCAATATATTCATTAATACACCCACCGAACACCCAATCAACCAAATCAAACAGGAATACTCAATCAAATACGTACTCAATGAAATAAATACATTAATAATTGTAATCAAATAATTGATGAAACGAAATATATTTTCAATTAAAAACTTGCAGCATATCTTCGTGAAGCAACAAATAAAACATATCGAGTTTACTGTTAAACTGTTCAAATAGAACGTTTGTAAATTTATTGTTAAAGAATGATAATTGAATAAAAGGAATACTTTTTTGGCCACACGTGGGATCACCATCAGCGGTGGACCTGTAATCCCAAGTATAGTCCAGGCCAATTTTATCGGTTTGATTGTCCATTTAGTAAATTCCGTTCGGTAATAATCGTAATACACTGATAGGCAAAAAATTCCACACAATTGATTTTTTTTCTCGATAAAAGAAAATTCTGCCCTTAATTGCCCTCATTGTTTTTACCAATAAATATTTTTGTATACTATGTTTTAAATTGGGAATATCAATTACAGGTAAACATTTTTAATCCTTAATCCAAAACAAATAAAGGATTTTTCTGTTTACTTTTTACGGAATTTCCATCAGGTATGCGGCTATTGCCATTGGAGTTACCAACGAAACACTTGGGACGACATTAGACGTTTTCGAGAAACTTGGTCCTGCCATAGAAGGCCCGGTTCTGGACGTCCTGGGGTAACAGAACCACAGGATGACCTTTTCGTTTTAGTTTGAGCATTTTGCGATTCTGGCACCTTACTGTTGTTCAAGCTATTCATCAATTCAAGGTGCCAAATTTCTGAACGTACTGCTTAAAGAAGTTTAAGACTGATGGCTTTTCTCCCCGTAAGAGGACCAGAATCGACCAGAACACCCAGAGTTTCACGATTCGCATTTTCTGAAGAACACAGCCATTAGTGTTTGGAAGTTTGGTCTGCTGTACTTTATACAGATAAGTGTGCATTTACCCTACTATCTCCAGATGGGCGGGCAGAGCGTGTAGAAGACAAAATGAAAGATACAAAGACTGTAATTTTCCCCAGAGCCAACGTTTTCAACGGTGTGTGCGGGAATTTAAATGGAGAGCCTCGCAGAGTTGGTTGTTGTTCATGGAGGGTCTTTGACGGCCACTCGGTATATGGATGAAATTTTGGATCATGCGATGCCTATCCTCGATGAAACCAGCGACAATCCTATGCACGATAATGTCCGTCCACACGTCTCTTGCATAATACAAACAGCATAACATCAGGGTTATGGCCAGCCCATTCTCCAGCCTTGAACCCCGTCGAACATTTGTGAGATAACCTCAAAAGACGAATAAGAGCACGTCCATCACTTCCTCATAAACACCACGATCTTGAAAGTACTCTTCGTGAAGGATGGGCTAACCTCCAGCAAAGAGACATTTCCAGACTGACAGAAAGTATGCCGAGGCTTCTTCCAGAAGACTTAAGGCAAGAGGAGGAAATACGCGATATTGAAATGTCAATTAAAGCAAATTTTATGTGCCTGACTTTTTTTTTCCTTAGCAATTTACTTTTTTAGACAAAAAAACGGGAAACTTTGATTAATATATAAAAATATATACAAATCAAGTTATATTACAAGTGGTGGAATGTTTTGCCTGTCGGAGCATATCACCGCGTCCAAGGTACAACAATGAAACTGGATATCTTGTCTTTCCAGATCTTCTCGATATTGTTGAAGTAAACAATTTGTCTTAAGGGGCTGGAAAACGACGCTATTTCCCGTATGCCAGTGTTATACGATTACGCCAATGCAGTTTGCATTTATTACGCCTCGGGCGACGCCGTTTGTCTCTTCCCCAGCCAATTTTGAACCTGCCGATTAAATTTAACCGTTATCCCCCTAATTCTGGGCCTGGCTGTTATTGTATTGGGGAGTGGAGATTCGATAAATCAATGTTGTCTTGTAAATCTAGATCTTATTTTATTATATGTATAACAATTATTGCCAACAAAAAATTTTAAAACACTTAGAAACCTGCCCTTTCATAAAGGGTCTATAGTCTCACTTTTCCATCCAATAAAAATTGTGCTATCTTACTATTGTGCTATAATCCTTTATAAAATTATGAAAATGTTGTTAAAACCATAAATAATAATAATAAATCTTTATTTGCAAGAATGTACATTACAGATAAATTTATAGAAAATAATATTTTGGTACATCCCTGCCTGCTGTCCAAACAGACAGCAGAAGTTTTTGGAGATCATCAAAGAAATAAACAGAATATATCTTTACAAAATGAAAAGCAAACAATACAAAATAAACTTATAGCATGAAAATACCAACCAAATTAAATCTTGGCTTTAAAATGTCTTAACTACAATTTAAAATTTTTGAAATCATAAATTATAGAATATTACAAATTAGAAAAGTTATAATATTGCGTAGTTTTTACATTATAAAAATGTGAGTTAGCCAATGAATTGTGTCTCGTGTTATATTCACTGATGTAAATAGTTACACGATTATTTTTATACAAACATAAACAAATAATATTTTTTATTTTTATACAAAGATGAACATTTAAGAAAGATTTAGTATAAATTTATTTCTTGAAATTCACTGTATGATTTTTTTTCGTATTTTATCTATACGGTTTATGTAAAATAATTTTAAGAAGAGAGTTCATAGTTACTTCCAGTCTTAATGTATTAATATTATTAGTATTTATTTTCATTTTCAATGAAAAGTGTAATACATTACATTTTTTGTGTTTAAAAAGTAGAAAGTTTGAGTTTAACCAAAAATTAATCATTTTCATATTATTTTAGTTTTAGTTAAATTGATTAAATTATCACCTGAGTAGTAGTATCATCTGCATAATTAATATTTTTCCAGAGAATTTAATTTTCACAAAATCAATAATATATAGAAGAAACAAAATTGGGCCTAAGACTGTACCTTGTGGTACTCCCGATACAATTATTATAAATAATTCAACTATTCTGATAACAAATTGTTATTGAATAATGGAAAAAGTATACATTTTAAACTTATGCAGCCAATGGATGCTACACCACAAATGCAAAGGTTTCCATACTACTGTAATGTGATTTTCTTTTTATCTAAAGGTTTTGATTATATTAGACCTTTCCCTTAAAAATCGTGGTACATAAAACTTTTTTTTTAACGAGGGTTCGCAACAGCAGAGGTTATATCAACCCTCGGAGTGCCGGTGTTTTTGAAAAAAATCCCATATGTATGTCGAATTCGAATGCAGGGCTGCTGGATTCGAACCCGGGACCTTTACCTTACAGTGATGAGCGCTGTGTCAACGCCTAAACCACTGCGGCCACCGACACCCCCTACATAAAACTTAAACTCACACCAGGAAGAAATTAATTACTTCAGATTTAGAAATAGTAATACATATAAAGAAGAGATTTGCACACAAAAAAATACTTCAGAAAGAGGAACATTAATAATAATGACATATCAAATAAACCCTGTCAATACAATGAAAAGTGTTTAGGGATGGTGTATGTAACTATGATGGTATATGGTACATGTAACTAACCTAATTGAGAGTCGGGATACACAACATTCTGCCATTGTCCCTCTCACAGTACATATTCATGCTAATAAAAACATTCACTCCCAACACACACTAAGGGCGCAAAACTATCAGCACTATATACATTAAAATCACCCTGTCTTATATTGGGTGGTGTACCTACATGCGCTTTATATGGAGCCAAGGAATTGCACCCTCAATTAGGTGGGACACAAACCTTTCTCTACATGCCGGACACAAACACAGGCTTTTGGGCCTGAAAGTAAGTGTGTGTAACCACGCATGACCTTCCTTATTCACGAGGATGACTCTTCTTTTATGAACCAGATCTGCCAATTTGCCACCCACCAACAAAATATTGATACATGAGAGCTTCTCTGCCTATCAGGCCAAACGACCCAAACTTTCTTTTAATCGTATTTTTAATACATTTTTCACACCAGAGGGCCTGATCGCGGTGATTCAATCCAGAGGTTGAACTCTGGGCCATAGCTGTCCCGTCCGTCTTTTCATTTCCCAGACAACAACCATTTTGCCAAGCGAGATACATTCTACATAATAAATTGTTAAGCAGTATTATCTTTACACAATGCACAAACAAATGCACAGAAAATTTATACTGTTAGACCTTCATTTAAAAACCATAATGAGTCAACAAATGGTAGATAGTTTTGAAAAGACTTAACTTGATTTTTGTTTTCATACAAGATGTTTTTTCATCTTTGTCATGGAATTTGATGCAGATATGAGGTGATATAATATAAAACTAGAAAATATGTACCATATTGACAGCGAAATAATTAAATTGTACCAGTATTTAATACAATTTAAATCAATTTTTATTTCAACTAGTTTTAATATGAATGGGAACTGAATTTTATCAAGTACTTGTTCTGCATCTGGACCTGCATTTGTTTGACTTTTAATCACAAAAACCTTCTAGTTATAATTTTTCAAGTCTTGTACATTCTTAAGGAAGATGTTAATTGAACTTTTTGTTTCAGAAATACTAAAACCAATTCAAGTGATAGTAAAGACCAAAGTTTTTCAATAAAACAGAATTTAAACGATAAGTAAGTATGGTTTTGTATCAATTTCATGAACGTGAAAAGGTATAAGATAATTTTTTATTGTTTATTTTAGAGAAGAGTCGAAAGATTTGGGAGAAGCTAATGCATCTGTAGAACTGTCACATTCAGAGAATCCTCATCATAAAGTAAATATTTTTTTTTTAATTCTGTTTGCCTATTTTATAATACTTTGTTTTTTTGTTTTTTTTTTTCAGCAACGAGTGCCAAACGGAAGTGGTAGCGGTGGGGTTGTGCGGGAAGGGGTCGGTTCCCTCTCACCTGCCCAGCCCCACCCTGTCGTCTACAGAGTTGTCAGCTCTAGGCATATCAAGAAAGCCGATAGCAGCCAGCAGACAGAAAACAGTGCCTTTAGGTACGTTTACAATATTTTTGGTAAAACAAGGTAAAAAGCAAGTCAGAGAAAAAAATGTACGTTTTAGACAAGTGTCTTCGAGTCAGTGGAAGGGTAACGGGAGCTTGCCCAGAGGTGAGAGCAGGACCGAATTGGAAGCAAGGGTGCCAAGAGACAAGAGGAGTCAATCTGCAGCAAACGGACTTCAGAGGAAGCAGGAAAAGAAGCGTACAACTGGTAAAAAGTCAAATATTATTTTGAAATAATATAGGTAAAATATAATTTGTTAGGAAGAAAAACTGACAAATTTTAGAGGTTTTAGGCTATTACTTATTTAGCTCAGTTGAGCACCATTCAGCTTTTCATTTTTAAATTATAGTTTTGTTGTTTAAAAAATATTTTTTTCTGTTTTATATTCATTGTTTATTTGTGTTGTATGTACCTTTTCCCCTGTTCATTTGTTTGAAAGCATCTTTCTTATTAATTATTACACATTACATAGTGAAGATTCTCAATAAATTAAACTATTTTTTCCAATATTAAGTAGCAAAATAAAATGTTAAATATTTTTGTTTTAGTTTTAATGCAATATAAAAAAAATAATTCAATATTTTAGTAACATTATCTTAGGCCCAAATTGCAATTTTCTATAAAATTTTATTGCTACTTTTTAACCTTAAAATAAAAACTTTTTAACATTTTAGGTTCAAAAGAAGAATTAGATGATTTTTGCAATGGTGAGCGCTCAAGTAAGGGTAGCAGTAGCGGTAGCAGCTGTAGTAGTGGTGGCGGTAGCAAAGGGAAAGTACGAGGGCCCCATCAAGGCTTTGGCTATGTCAAAAGGCCGAGCACAAACGGGACTCCAAAAGACACCAGGACAGCTCAAGTCCAAGCTGTCTCTCGGACCAAGGTGAAGGTCTCGGGCGGCACGCAGACTGAGTACTCTGGCCCTCAGCTATCAGCAGGCGTGCGTGAGCGACTCATGATGAGCTCGCCGAAGACACACCCCGGAAGGCATACAGACACGGGATCTCTTTCGGACTCCAATTACGCTGAGATTCCCAGCCCGTACAGCTCGTGGCTACGACACAGCAGCGCTTACACATCTTCCCTACCTGCCAGGACCAGCGCTGCAGGTACGATGGTAGAAGCTGAGAGCATAGAGTCACTTCCGGCGCAACTTCATCACAGGGCAAGCCTAACACACACACGTCTTATGGGCTCACCGTCAACTGCTCCGAGATTAAGCAGAAGTAATAGCATAAGGTAAAAAAATCTTTCCATTTGAAACCAGCATGAATTTAAACAAAATTTTTACAAATATAAAAGTTTTGTTTTCTGAATTATAAATGTTTTTTTTTTTAATCTCAAATAAAAATCGTGTTTTCCCTATTTTTTAAGATATATTGTTGTATTTATATGTCATATTTGTTAAATGTTTATTGTTATAGCATATTAGCCTTGAAGATTAAATTTTAACCTTAAAATTTAACCTTATCATTATTGTATTTATATGTAATTATGTTTTTACAGTTTATTAATAATATTTTCTGAGATAAGTGAGTCCTAAGATAAGTAACTTGGTATAAATCCTGATGCTTGATCTCCAGTCCTCCTGGTCTGTCTATTCTTGCTGGATGTGTCTGACAGGAACATGTCGCAGACTTTATTGGTTAGTCTGAGCGTTTTCTCTTCGGTTTGTCTTTTTTTCTAAGCTCTTGATAATTGCTACAAAATCTTCAGTGCTTAACAAACCTATACAAAATGAAAGAATAACAGACTAATCGAGGGGGCGTTGATGGCCGCAACGGTTGGCACGGCGCTCATGACTGTAAGGTAAAGGTCCCGAGTTCGAATCTAGCAGCCCTGCATTCAAACCCGACATACTTACAAATGGGTGTTTTTTTTTGTTTTTTTTTTTAAACATCGGCGCCCCGAGCGTTGATATGTCCTCTGCTGTTGCGAACCCTCATAAAATAAAAAAATTTTAAAAAATAAAAACAGACTAATCATTAAACATTCTGTTACATTCCTGACCAGCAAAACTAGCAAAGTAGGTAGAAAGGATGATCAGAGATGATTAAGCTATAAATGAAAATGTGTGGGAAAAAATAAACTTTAATATCAATAATTTTTAAGTGTTTCATATTTGACCATTTAAGCTTTCTTACTAAGATTTTCCAAAATTTAGAAAAGTTATAATTTTTTTAAATGCATATGCAGTGGATTTTCCCATTTTTCCAAAACTTATCTATTTTCTATCTACGTTAATAATGAAAATTTCTGCTCAATAGCCCTTTTCTTTGCATTTTAATGAATTGTTAGTTTATATTCTATGAAAAAATTGCCGTCCGGTTTTATTTTTGTCTTTGAACAAATGGAAATTTCTTTGAACAATTTGTACTAAAGCATGTAAGGCATGAATGTTTAGTTTATTTACGTTTACTCTTGATTTTCAGCTACCTCAGAGATCGGACTTTTCCAAGGTATTTCCCACTCGATCAAGACTAATCAAATCGAATTTTAGCCCTAAGGGTGTTTTGCTTATTCACGTATTGTTCGATATTTGGGCTGCATAAATGTTCCAAAAAAATAAATACCCTGAGCAAAATAGTAGATTGTCACAATAGAGCGATGGAAAAAGAGAGCAAGTTCCAGAACAAAAAATATATATGAAAATTAACTTGCAACACCCTGTATTTGTGTGTGAACAAATGTTGAGAGAGGGAGAGAGAGAGAGAGTGAGAAGAGAGAAAAAGAAAGCTTTTAAATTATTTTTATTTAATTTTATTTAAACACTGTGAAATCTACTTTAATTATTTTTTATAGGCTTGTAAATCAAAGTATATTTTTTTTATTGAAGCATGCCATTTATATTCGTATATTTGCTTTTGTACAAGCATGGCGGTTTATATCTTAAAACTTTTTTCAAATAAATAATTGCTACTGTCTGTGAGATTGTCACATAATCGGCTGTTGTAGGTCGACCAAGTCTGAAAAAATGTATCCGTCGATGTTCCAAAGGTCAGAAGAGGTAGATCCGTACTACAGCATACCATACAGTATTGGCATTTCACCGCACCATCACTCATCCCAACCCACAAGCCCGACACCGAGCCAAGTCTCCCATGGTGCTCCGAGCAGGTACTTGCATCACAAAAAAATTATTTATTTTTTATGTATAATTAATTTGTTTAAGGTTTAACTATCCAATTTCACCTATTAGTTCTTCACCTTCCAGCCATGGTATGAACAGAAATTCACCTTATATCGGTATCATGTCAAAAATGAACTCTAAGGATGACGATGGTAATTACAATTTTTAATTTATTTTATGTATTATTGTTTAATAAAAAAAGTAATGTTTTTCTTTTTTTTCAGTTCACGGCTCGGCTGTGAGCCTTGTCTCAACGACCTCGTCTCTTTACAGCACACCAGAAGAAAAGCAGGCACATGAAGTCAGGAAGTTACGCAAGGAACTGTCCGATGCTCAGGAAAAGGTCCATACCCTTACGAATCAGCTCTCAACTAATGTAAGTACAAAATTATGATTTATTTTAAAATTGGGGGGTCTAATGGAAAAACAAATAATGAATTACAACAAAACATATGCTCCTTTCAAACACCATTACACGCTAGGGAGCTTCTGAAGCTATTCTGTTTAGTTCAGATTTAAACTATATACTATCCTACATAATATACTACATAATTCCAATTTAAACTCGTAATTTTTAACATTCCGTTATTATAGATATTAGTAAATTCCCTTAACTTTTGACCTATATACAATTTTTTTCAAAATTGAAAACAAGGAATCCAATGAAATTATAGGATCAAACTTGGATTTGATTAAAAGAGGCATGGTTCAAAACATTTACTTTCTTTATTTTTTTCTTTCTTGTTAACAGAAGCAAGAATAGCCTTTTATAAAATTTAACAATAATTAGAGAACAATTGATTTATATATTTTTAGTTTTCAATTCATCCCAAAACATTTACAACTAAATGATTGGTTTAACAATAAAATGGTTTTGTTGTGTTAAAATACATTTATAAACTTAATCAAGTATCACAAGTACATTCACCGATATTAACATGGTTTCTGTTATTATCTTTTAAAGCTGTCATAGAAATATTTTATGAAGCAGTAATATTTTCATAACACAAATTAACAAATTGTTTGAGAATAAATATTAACATTACAACAGTAGTGTAATAGAAAAATTTATTACTTGTACAATATTATGATACAAAGAAAGTTAACGCCCACAATGCATACGTCATTATTAACTGATCAATTTATGATGAGGATAGCTGTTCAAATTATTTTTGAACTCGTACAAGTCTGTGATGAAATGATGGTACTGCTGGTCAGTAGCGTAGTGAACAAACTCGTACATCAGCTCCTCTGGAATATTGGACGGGTTGTAGTCTTTTTTCGTCTCGCACCTGGCCGTCTTGTGCCCTACGACCTGGATAGTCAATTTTTTATAGTTTTTATCTGGCGAGAGGTATTTGCCCAAGAGCTGGTTCAGATGTTTCTTCTTGAGGGCGCAAATGCACTTTATTTCTTTCTCGATTCTGTCGAAGACGTATTCCATGTTCTTTATCTCAATCCAGTTCCTCCTGGCCTCTTCTTTGAGATGGGTGTCAACGCATTTTTTTACTTTGATCAACGTGTTGGCCGCGTCTTTGAACTCTTCATCCGGCATCTTTTTGATGAAATCCTGGAACTTGTGAAGAAAATCGGCCATCCTGCTTTGAATATGGTCAACAGTGAATTTATCAATTTGAGAATGTACGCTTATCGTAAATCCGATTATTCCGTATATCTCCTTGACGCTGCAAGACACGTCGTATCCGAGTTGTTCCTGAGTCCTCAATTTATCGAACAAAGGCTCCTCCATCATCATAAGAATCAATTCAAGCGCCACACAGTCTTTTATGTAGCCGGGGCAGAACTGGTAATAGTTAGTCGTCACACAGTTTTTATCTTCCAAGTTGAATGAATTGACTCGGACGCATTTTTCGCCTATGGGCAATTCCAAGACTGTGAAATGAGGCAGGTTGTCATCAGACAGCGGTGTGCTTTTCAACTTACTGACAAAATTTTCACAACACGCAATGGCTTCATCTTTAGTGAGATTCCCTTGTACCAGACACTGAAAGCGTACATTTTTAAAAAAGTCAGCTATGAAATTTAAAAATGTGTCGTAATCTAGAACTTTTAACGCTCTGAATTTGTCCAAATGAGAGTAATACTCTTTCACCAAGATTGACATTCGCAATTCCCTCGCAACAGAACTGGTGTTAAGATTTTCATTGTAGAAATTACGAAGCAGGACTTCTTGAATGGCGTTAAAAAATCCTATCGATATATTGGACCCGATGTTAAATATGCCCTGGGCTATTTCATCCAGTAAGAGATGCAAATTCTGGTTGTACCCATAAGCATTAATACTGATGCCATACTCGTTCACTTCAAAACTGAATTCATACAGCGCAGCGCAGGCTGGATAAAGCCTTTCCATCAACAACTCTTTGAGCGCTCTGACATAGACGGATGCCATGACGGTGGTCAATGAGTTTTTGTGTAAATTGTTCTTGAGAATGTGTATTCCGACGAATCCAACAGGCAAGAGGAACTTATCGTCCCCTTTGTACCAAATGGTAATCTGATCGTTGGATTTACATTTCTCTGGGTATCTGCTTACTTTAGAGGATTCAATCAAAGAGAAATCATTTGTTATAAAATTGTTAACTTCCGGTAGATGAAAATCGTCCATGATATGTATGTCCTTCCAATCTTTAATCCACTGTTGGGGAATATCCGAGGTGTAGTATCTTGTATTGAACCACGGCTCAACTCTGTTGAGGGTCATGTGGTTTGCTGTCGCCTTGGCACTTACCATTATGTTAACATTGTAATGCTGCATCATGTTCAAGAACTTCACTATAAGCTCAGGATTGTACTCAAAATACAATTCCGGCCCTGTTATAAACTCTTCCGAATTGTAATATAGCATGTTCTCTGAAAGGTTTTCGACATTGGTTACAGCGTCAGACTCCTCTTGATACTTGAAATCCACATCGGCTATCGTTTTCAGCTCGTTGAACAAATATTCATTAGGGCAATTCATACGGAGCATCTTCAAGTAGGAGAACACGGCGAGCAGGACTTCGTCCAAATGTGAACGGCCGAGGTCGGTGAGAAACATAGAAATTGAGAAAATACTGTATATACTGTTTGAAGAAAGCCCTTCATCTGAGTTGCCTGCAGTTAACGACATGACCCAAAGCTTCTTTTTCAAATACGAGAGAAGGCTGCCTTTTCCTTCATGCCCGATTATTGAAGACAGATAACTCAGGGGTTTAGACCTGTAATGATCGATAACAGGCGGGAGCATCCAACTCATGTCCAGTCTGAATGTATCGTTCACAGATTCCACGTAATAGAGCTTGTTGAAATTTTCCCCAGTAGGGTTCGGTACTTTAAACACCACCTTTGGACTGCCATTGTTCTTGATGCCGGAAAAGTAGTTGATGACCCATTTCCTGAGCAACTCTTCTGGCAGTCGGGCTTGTATCGCCAGCTTCATCCTGTGCGCTGAATAATGCTCCTTTCTAAAATTATGCGCAGACTTGTAAAGGAAATCATCTGTAATGTTTGCCTTGAGCGTCAACTCGTTGCCCCATGTGAACTTGTGTGCCGGGTTGTTCTCGTGCACCATGGAGCAGAGGAGCTGCTGCTTCCTGTAAGTGTCGGAAGGCAGAGCCATTTGAAACTCGGATTCTATCGCCTGCCTCTCCCTCGTCATCGCCTCTTTTTTCATGAGGGGAGCTTTGAAAAATTGTGAGAAAATGTCGAGAGCCTTTTCCAAATGGCGTTCCTGGCATTCGAAGTAAAAAGTCGTGTATTCGCATTCCGTCGTCGCGTTGTCCGAGCCGCCGTTCTTCGTGATGAAAGAATCGAACTCGTTCTCCTTCGGGTACTTGCTGCTCCCCATGAAGACCATGTGCTCGACGAAATGGGCCAGGCCTTGGATCGCCTCGGGGTCGCTGAAACTGCCGACGTTCACTGTGAGCGAGCACGCGGCCAGTTTTTCCTCCTTCGGCGGAATTTTGGATTGCCTCGAGTCGAGATCGAGGCTCTGGTCGCTCGTGACGGAAACCGAGTCGCTGTAATAGTCGCTAGACGAGGTCTCATCGATGTCCGAGTCGAGCTCTTCCAATTCGACCAGATTCGTCACGTCCGATACGATAGTACAGACGAGGCCGTTTTGAAGTTTCAACGCCGAATAAATTTTCTTGTCCGAAGGCGATTTGATCGGTGCCGGCAGCTCTGTGAAGTTTTCGTAGTACGTGTCTTCGTTGATGATGTTCTCGGTCGGCGAACCGGATCGGGCCCCGGGAGGCATGTCCGACTTGAACCTTTTCGACATGTTACGCGCTCCTACTAACAGGCGAAAGCAATTGACCGACCCCCTCAGCATTTAATTTTTAAGCCATTTTTACTTGTTTTTTTCTTTGTTTTTTCTTTTTTTCTACAAGAAACAACTTACGACAAATTTTAGGACAGTCGGTGAGCGCCTTGTAACAGTGGGTGCCACTACCCGTCCGATCACAGACTTAAAGAATCGATACGGCCACAAGGTCAACTGCGTAGTTCTTGTATGACGTCACATCATACATCTTGGATATTTGTCTCGCCAAAAAAAAAAAAAATATTTTTAACAGGCATTTAACAGTCAAAAGTTTCTAAAACCTACTTTTTCTCTACTCTCTCTTTTATCGATAAATCTTCTATAACATATATATCATGTAATGTAACAGATCTGTTAGATCATTTTTATAACATACTGGCGAAACAATTCATTAAAAATTATGGCCACTTTATAATTTCTAGCTTGGTTGGTTTTGTTAATTTTTAACAGCCTGTCCTTGCTGTTTCAGCTGTGGTGCCATTTTGGAAATTTGCCGTGCCAAAAGAATTTAAACTTGCCTTTGCGACAAGTCGAAAATTTCTAAAACCAGTTTTATTAATTTTCTAGACTAATTTAACGAGCTACGGATCAATTCATTTGTTCTATTTACACTTGTTTCCTTGCGACAGTATAATCTGTGAAAAATGTTGGTCCTTTTATAATGGTTTGATCGGTCAGGTGGATTTATGCTTTTCGCCATCTTCAGTGGGTTTTTTTTAGATATTTGCCGGAAAAAGAAGTTTCAGGTTCATATATCAGGATATATGCTGTAGATTTGGTTCGAGTACTCTTTTGTTTGAACGTTTTAACTCTAATCCGTTTTTGTCAATATTGAAGCAAATGAGTCAACAATATAAAAAAACTCACATCCCCAAACAATCACATTGGCGGGTTGGAAGCATGAAAAATCAAAGGATCTTTAATATATTTTATAATCTCAAGATTCTCACTCTAGCTGTTTGCACTGTCCAGCAGAATACAATATATCCGAAGATATCATACATTTCAATTCATCATGATAAATGGAATCAACATATTAAAACATGCAATTATTTTGAATGTCTGCCGTAATCTTACGCTTACTCTCTCTATTTATATTTGAAGACCACACAGATCTTAAATTTATCATGATAAATGGACATGAATGAATGGCATTTTTCTTCTTACATGTGCTGCAGTTTTTGGCTCCGTGTACTCTCCTTGTTTAAACACACTCGATACACACAGGGTTGGCATCGTTTTTATCAACTGCTAACAGCACATGCATTTAAAGTCAGCATAAATTTAATGATTAAATATTGTAGAGTATCGGGTCTGTGTTCTCTCGCTGTTTAGTCTTCTAACCTTTAACAATTTCTGTCAAGGTTAAAGTGAAAAATTATTAAGAGAGCATTAAATAATCACAATAGATGGAAACAATCCGAGGATTTTTATTATATGGTGCTCTAACCCATAGCAGTTTGTCAATATTGAAGTTTACTAGAACTAGTTCACAGTTTACTCGAACTCACAGACTTCATATATTATCATTATCTGCGCGTTTTTCATCTACGAATGCTATACTTTTGGGTCCGTATACTCTCGCTGCTTGTAGCTTTTCACACACATCAGTTTTCGGCAATATTTAATCAAATTATCGATTTACTACGGATTAGATTAGATTGTATGGGCGCCGGCCTCTTTACCGCACCGCGACCAGTATTGGTCTATTGTACATCTCAATTTTTTTTTATCTAGAGCTCCTCGTTAAGGTTAAGGCTTTTTACCAGACTCCAAATGGTTCCTTCAGGCCCTGGCTTTTCTCTCCCAGGATTAGGAATCTCAGCCTACATAGGCCTTCGCACCAGTAGAGGACATGATCCGCAGTGTCCAGTCAGTGGTCCAATTCTATTCCTAGCACGTCCTGGATTTAGTAGTTTTGTAGTTGTGCAGTTTCTACGATGGTCCTTACTTACTTTTGCCCCGAGCTACATTGTCTAATGGATCCGCGTTTTTGCCAGTTTGGTAAATACAAAAGGGTTCAGGGCCAATAGGTGTCCTCATCGAACACTTGGCCAATTTTTCGGCTTCTAAGTTGCCCCTCTGCCTCGTACAAGGCACACTATTCGGAAGTGCAACCCAACAAAACAATGATGTACAATAGTTGTTTTTCTGTTAGGCATATCGTTATATGAACTTTATGGAGCCGATTTGTAGGCCATTGATCTTGGCTCCATATACAGTTTTGAAGTTTCTGTTTGATGTCATACCTGAAAACAGATTATTTCATGACAAACGTCAAGGGATTTCATCCTCGGGACAGTTCGAGTCTCATCCTTTCTCCGTTCTATAAAAAATTTCCGTCAAACGTCAAATTAGCCCGAGCGAACGGCTGGCTCGTGGGTCTCCGCCCTTCTTCGGCCGAGTCCGTGACAAGTTGCCGCTCGTGAGCGACTGCTCTCCACTGGAGTCTCCAGTTGTCAGTCGGCCGGCAGACTCGTGCCAGCAATGGCCGTACACGACGGCTTCGCAACAGTTCGCAACGCACGCTCGTGCCGCCCCCTCGGCAGGGCCGCGCTCGAGCCCCTCTCAGAAGAGTCTCCCGTCTGCTTCAGGCTCCGGCCGGACGTCCCTTGGTGGGAGTTAGCCACTAGGAGGTCCAGGACCAAAAGCTGTTCAGCTATTCAGGTACAAAAAAATTAAGGATTGTCTGAAAATTTTCTTGCACGCTATACATCAACTACCCTCAAATTCAAAATTATCAACACACTACAGTTAATTTAAATAACAACTGACAGTCAGACTTTAATAGTAAATACATCAATACAACCTTTTCGATTAAACAAAGTACGGCAAATCGTAAATATTACATATTAAAAAAGTAAGTAGGGCCAATCTTTAACTACGTACCTAATTTGACAACTGGAGCAAATCCTTAGTATATTTCTTGTTTCTAAACCTCACAAGCTTAAATGACGAAATGAGTACCAATCTTTAGATCAAGTTTGAGGCAATTCGGGTGCATCCTGCCTTCTTTTAAAGGAAAAATAACATGCTGTATTATAATATTCAATTTTCCTTTTAAACATTTAAATCCTCCTCCTAATGCTGCTCCATGGGTCATTTTCATGGTGGTTTATTTAATATATTAAAAATTATAATATGGGACAGAATGTGTGGCATTTTACTGTTCAGAAATGAAAAGGCATCTAGTTCACTATCGTATTCCGTGGCTTAAACATCCAAAAATGAAAATCAGCTAAGGGACAGTATGTCAAAATTGTGCTGTATAATTTTTTTTAACTCAAAATCAATTAGGTTTCTCTAGACGTCACAGCTTCCAAATGTACAGCAATATAACATAAAACTAAATTTTCCTGTTTTCCTTCTAGGTTTCTATAGTTGAACAGACATGAAATCTTGTTATTTATTTGCTTGTTTAAAAGGTATCAACAGTTCTACTACTAAATCCATTATATTTCGTGGTCCGATTGACCGAATAACTTCTTTCAATTAATTAATCTTTATGTAAGGTATTGGTTGAAATGAAAAAGTCAGTGTCACAAGCGGGATTCGAACCCACGACCTTCGGCCCAATACGCCGCTGCTCAACCACTTGAGCTATCGTGACTTCCATCCATTTGGACACCAACTTCCCATTGCAACCTACCTTTCGAATTTTCCTACTAAGTACTACTACTTATTTCGGCACTTGTGCCTTAATCATTGGAAGTTTTTATTTACACCATAATTAAAACACCTTCGGTTTAAGAAAAACGTTTATATAATAGTCAAAAACCTTTGACCATTCCGCGTGAGGGATTAGTCAATTGCGTAAATTATTTTAAACCACGATGTAATTAGGTTTAAATAAAAAATGGCAATGATTTGTAGTGAGAGTGTTGATAGTACTGTTTAAACAAGCCATAAATAATAAGATAATAATAAATGGATGGGAATTAACGGTTCAGAAGTAAAATGAACATTAAAGCTCCCCAGTTAAATAAAAATAACAATAAAAATATAAATTTCGATTGCAGTTCGGTTAAGGATCGTACCAAAATTAAATCGACAGTAGGGCTATGCAATTTTCCAATAATATCTTATAAAACTAGGATTTTCAGGATTGAACAAAATCAGCAGTTTCTGGATTTATTATTTAAAAAGAAATGAAAGGGAAATATAAATAACGTAATGTAAAACAGGATATTAGAAATTGATTCTAGAAATTCAAATCAGCTAAGCTTTGTTTTAAACTGTGTAGCATATGAAATGAAGTAATTTTGTTGACTTTGAAAAGCCCAAAAACTTTATGTTTTCCCCCAATGACATGGTTTGTAAATAATATAATATAAAACTTTAAAGTGGTGCAGTTGTGCTGGGATTTGTTGCGAAAAATGAAAATCAGCTAAGGATCAGGATAATTCAAAATTTTCCTTTAAAGAAGTATACATCCAACAAAAAATTGGTTTCTCTAAATTCCATGGCCGCCGTATTGCAATAATATAATTTCGAACTGTCAAATTAAACAGTTAAACAGACACGCAAGAATGACACAATTACACAGAAGACAAATACTTTGATTGAATATATAAAATATATTTTGCATTGTATAAATTCACTTTTCCACATCCAAAATGTAATTGTAATATGTAAACAATGTTTGTAAATCCCAGGCCCTGAAGATGATCTCAATAAAGATCGAAACGTTGGCACGATAAAGAAAATGTTTTTCTGAAACCTACATCACACCAGATCGCATCTCACGATTTCTAAATAAATATTAAACAGTTTTTATCCTTTCGGTTATGAGGTTTCTCAATTTTTTTTAAATTAAGTTCTATTGTCAAGAAAGGGAAATCATCCAGGAACCAAAAACTTGTAGCTTGGAATTGTGCTGTTTTTCAATTGTGTATTCTAAAATCGTCCAAAAAATTTAAATTTCTCGCAATGTCAAGACTTACAGATTACAATAATATACCAACTGTACAGTAGGGCTGATGTATGATTATTTTTTAGACGAGATGGATTTCAGCTTCAGAAATCCTGATCTGATATTTCGACATTTTTACTTTTAAATAATAATAATTTACGAGACAATACTATGAATGATCTAGTTGAATCGAGGTTTATGGATCGTTCATAAATTAAAATCATCCAACTATCTGACAGGATCTGTGTATTTTCTAATTTTTTTTTTTTCAAGCCTAAAACATTTAAGTTTATAAATGCCATAGTTTGC